ACAGTTGGGGAGTTTCTGGGGGTTCCTCTTCTATTTGGTTAGGTTATAGATCATTTGATCAAGCTAGTATATAATCACTGAAACACCTGCCTTCCCTTACTGTGAGTTTGGGCACTTCCCCGGGTCTTGCCCAATGTTCCTCAACCATGGTTAAGGCTAAGTGCCACATCAATCGTTCTCATTTACTGGTACATGTACAGCTCTCTGTTGCTGGTGGGGGGGGTCAGTAGAGGGTGGTTTTTACTTTTGTACATTTATAATGTTTTGTGCCCATGGTCTAAACCACTTAACTCTGGGGAAATGCTCATTTTTGTCTAGAATACCATTAAAACGTTTTACTTACCTTAGCTCTCGCTCCTGCCGGTGTACTCCTCTCCTTATGACTAGTTCCCCAAAAATGTTTCTCTCCGGAGCTCCTTCAGTCACAGGCATCACATACAATGCAGTACCATCAGTCCTGCATTGTAAGTGAGGAAGCCACAACCTCAGAGCATTGAAGAAAAAAAGATCACTGACGGTCAGAGAACAAGCAATAAAGCTGGCCATACACCTATAGATTATCTACAGATTTTCTGTGGTCAGATGGAAAAAGCGCAACAGATTCCTCCATCTATGCTAAACTGTGTGCATGGAGGAATCTCCCACTGGGCCAAGCTTCAGTATCTTGCTAGTCAGCCCTGCTGGCTCTCAAAATACCTGAAAAATGCCTGCATCCAATCACAGTGTTCAGGTATTTTGAGAGCCAGTGGGGCCGGCTAGCAAGATACTGAAGCTTGGCCCAGCGGGAGATTCCTCCATGCACACAGTTTAGCATAAATGGAGGAATCTGTTGCGCTTTTTCCATCTAACACTAGAAAATCTGCAGATAATCTAGAGGTGTATGGCCAGCTTTATTGCTTGCTCTCTGACCGTCAGTGGTCTTTTTTTCTTCAATGCTCTGAGGTTGTGGCCAGCTTTAGGTAAGAAAAACTGCTTCTTATTCTTTACAAGGGGGGGGGGGGACCCCCAATAAAAGGTAACTTTTCAAGAGGAAGGATATCTCCAATGGAAATTTCTAGGGATATTCAGATACCAAGTACCGTACTCGTACAAGTGCTAGAACCGATACATTTCCAGCTCCAAGACATTTCTGTACTGGTGCTCACCTAAATGCTCAGATACCGGAACTTCCAGTCAGAGGGAGATTTCCTCTGACTGGCAGTACCGCAAGGGAACATGGAGCAGCCCAATCCGGAAGCCAGGTGAGCAGCTAATGACTCGCCGCCCAGCTTCCAGATTGGTTGGGAAGCCAGCTTCGCAGCCAATCAGCATTAAGCCGGCCAAACAGATCCGATAATATGGTGACAACCTCCATTCTGCGTAATTGGCAGTATAATAATGAATGTACTTGATACAAAAAAAACTGTATCGGTAGCTATCTATATAATGTTTTGTTTTTTTATTTATTAGGGTTGCTCAAATACCATTTTTTTTCTAGACCAAGTACTGATACTTGCCCAAGTACTCACAGATACAAGTACTGACACATTTTTGTTTAGTGTCATGTGACAGTTTTTCTAAAACAATACAGACTAATGATTTCAGGACAGTGGTGGCCCTAGCTGCAACCCTGGTACTTCTCGTGAAAATTCCAAGTATCGGCACTGGTACCTGGACATCCCTATTTCCCCAAAATGCAGCTTTAAATAATTTTCGAACATTTTTCTTTTTAACAGCGCTAGACATATGCAGATAAAAACTTTCAAATGGGAGCTTTTTGTATGAAACTAGTGTGGCCGAAAAAGGTGTAAAGGGGTGACATTTACTACAGGGTACCAATAGTCATACTTAAATCTGAATCCGGTAAATAAAAGATTTGCATTGTCCCATTCACAAAAGAACATGGAAGAGCCTGCTCCTTACATTTTCCCCATGTGACAGGTGGCACAAAATCAAGGCGTGACTATTTAGATAGAAATGCAATATAGAATTGATATATCAGTGTCAAAATTTAGTCAGCCAAAGTTAAAAAACTTTCATTATCCTGGAAGACCCCTTTAATGGAGCATGCCAGACAAACAGGTCCAGAAAATCTCCTTTTAATACAAAAACAGTTATCCCTATCATCTCTTTACAACTGATGAACGTAACAGTTTGAAGAGAAGAAAGAAAAAAAAAAAAAAAAAGATGCAAATTTTTTTAATTCAGTAATTAGAAAAGGAATGGAAAAAACCCTGTCTTTTACAAAGATTTGAAAATTAAAAACTGAATGAGTACAGAATCGTCTATTGGATTACTTAGACACAGTATTCATCATGATAGCATCCTACATTCAGCAGACATGTAGGTTTTTGGGGTTGGACTTTGAAAATGTTATTACAAGTTAGCAAAGTCTAATACAAAAATAGTCTGTGATGGGGCAGCATTCTTCTCCTATTCAAAGGTGAAATTCGGCGGCAATACGACTCTATTGCAGCGATCATTGTTACTTTATATAGTGCAAGATCTTGGCTAAGCAATGGGACACAACCCCTATTATGGATAGGGTAGCGCAATTCAAGTGTTTCAATAACATACTGTGCTTTTCTTGCAAACGACGACTATTATCCTCTCATTCAATTTCTAATGTTTTAACAAATTCTCAGTCTTCCATCAAATGTGAAAGACCGAATAGATACAGGGCTTCTAGCTGGTGCTCAACAGGCTAGAGCACATTGTGTCATCCCAATGTCCATGCATCTTCCCCTCAGCACCATTGTTTTTCACAGTGGAAGCTGCCTTGCTGTTCCATCTGCCTAAACTTGCAGGCATTTACGCAAAAGGAGAACAACCAAAAACGAGGATCTGAATGTGAACCAAAGTTATTTGTCCCTTAAACTGTCCAATTGCTCTTGATATTCCGTGAAGAGTCGCTGAAATCGAAGATTCTGTCCAATAAGTGGGAGAAGTTCCTTCAGCAGCTCTCTTTTCGGATAACCCTGGACAACAAAATAATGAAATGCTATAGTTAAAGGCCACAGCAAAATAGTTAAATTGTATGGTTTATACTTGTATGAATGGTTTACTAAAAGTTAATTAGATTAGTGGACTTACGGTTATTTCACGCAAATTAAATTCACAAGCACTTAAAAGAACTTTAGCGTGGCAGAGGGTTGGCAGCTCTTGTAAAACAAACTAGCACATTATGTCATACTTACCTTTAGGATCACCCGTCTCCGAGAAGGTCAGGACATGATTTCAGATTGGATTGGGATTTAAGCAGCAGAATACAACACCACATTGGATTTGTATACATTATTCGAGATCCAGCTATCTATAAAATTTAGAATATTCTGGAACAATGTATCTACAGTGTAATCTTTGAAAAGGAACCTTTCAGGGCAGAAAAAGAAGAGCTGACATTTTATTTCACTTGCATTTAAAAATAGAAGCTCCGAGACTGTACTCCTCATCCTTGCTGTCTGATATGATACAGACTTGGAACATATGTACATACCAGGCGTCTTCATACTTACCCAGAAAGTCCATAGTCCCATCACACTCCTGACCGCAAGATCCCTTTTCAAGAAGCGGGTGCTACGGTAGTCGACGGATGGCAACCGTCACAAATATGAGATGCTGGCACTCCAGTGTGAAAAACAAACGTCTATTTATTGACGTACAGCATACAAGTATTGCAATGAACGTTTCGGGGGTCGCACAGGATCCCCTTCCTCAGACAAAAGCATACCAATGTCATAAAAAGCATACTTTTGCCTGAGGAAGGGGATCCTGTGCGACCCGGAAACGTTCGTTGCAATACTTGGTATGCTGTACGTCAATAAATAGATGTTTGTTTTTCACCCTGGAGTGCCTGTGTCTCTGCTTTTGTTCATACTTACCCAGGCTCACTAGAGTGTAAAGGAAACATGTGGATGACAGTCCTAAAGTGTGCTTTAAAAAAAAAAAAAAAAATAGCAACGGCAGTTGCCATTTTTTGGACCTGACAGGATCCCTTTAAGGGCTAGTTCACACCATAACTGTGTGCATCTGCGCAGCTGCAGTGCTATGCGGTTTACCATGATTTTGACACTTTTTTAGCTTAAAAACAAAAGGTGCAGTCCCGTGCATTTGCATGCGTTTTTGATGCGTTCTGTTGCAATCCAATGCCGCTAAATTGAGACAAAAATTATTTTTTCTAACTGCATCGGAATGGACTGCACTGGTGTGAAGAGCCCCAGAAATCCCAAAGAAAAGCATTGTGACACAATTTTGATGCAGCTGCCCAACTGAACCAACTCCATCTGGTGTGAACTAGTCCTAAAAGAACTACCGGTAAGTCCATAGAGTAACATATTTGCAACACTTTTCCCTTTTTTGATGTATCCCTCCTAGGTATTTAAAAATGTTGCCATCCCAGAATGCTTTGTTATTTAAAGCAATCCATAGACACTTCTTGTCTCCACATGGAGAGCTAAATGAAGTTCAACAATGTCTCTCAATTCTTTCCTTCACCTTTAGGGTTAGTTCACACCAGAACTGCGTGCGTCTGCGCACTTGCAATGCGATGCGTTTTGCACGTTTGTTTAAAATAGGATTTCATGTGCCTTCCAGTCCCTTTGCATGCGTTTTTGATTTGTTCCAGTGCGATCCAATGCAGGTAAAATAGGAAAAGCAGTTTTTTTTCTGACTGCATCGGAACGGACTGCACTGGTGTGAATAAAGCACCAGAGATCCCGTAGGAAAGCATTGTGATGTATTTTGGCTGCAGCAGCCAAACTGAACAGACTGCATCTGGTGTGCACTAATCCTTATCAGTCTCATTTTCCCTGCAAAAGTGTAAAACCCACCATTACTCATGCTCAACCAACAAAAGTAAGCTTAGTTTATTGAACAGCCACATAGTATATTGTCTTTTTAATCACTTACCAAGATTCTTGATTCCCACTGACTGCCAGATGAGCGATGGACTGGGCCCAGAAGATCCTGACAAACCTCCCGCAGCTTCTGCTCAAAACCTGCATAGTGCAATGTAGTCATAAAATCGACTTTAGGGACCAAAGCTGTATCTTTCTCAAATGACATCAAGTGTATTATTACATAATGTTGGTTAAACTGGTCTTCAAGCAGGTCATTTTATTTACAAATCATCGCACATCTTTTTCACTAAGCATTATCTTCTATTGTCCATAGTAGACTGCTGTAGTGTAGCTTACCTTCATTAACAAGGAAGCGTGCATAGATGAGCAGCCAGTATCGGTACTCCTGGCTGGACTGTAGCATGAGGGCAGCTGCAATCTGGTTCTCCAGGTAGGCCATGGTAGTCTCCTGCTGTACCTGATGAGGCATTGTGAAAAGACGAGCAGCCTGTCTGCCTGCACTACAGTGGACACAAAAGGTGCAAATGAGGCGAACAGCAAGAGCAATTTCTATCTTATTATCTTTGCTTTGAATATCCACAATTTTCTTAGGCTAGTCCTACATGTGCAAACATCATTTGGAGAATGGGCAGTAATGGACCCTGCCTGCCCTCAACTGTTTCACTGCCAGGCCCAATGTGTTCTCCACTTAAGTTTTCCAATGGATGTAACAAATCCTCAGGAAACAATTCAGTCCTCAACCCCAGCTGCCACAGAAAAAGGAAAAAAACCACTGCCTGTTTGCACATACATTTTCCAGTAAGTAGGAAAATATCTGTGTGCAACACTTCTGATGGTGAGGATTTTTGTACTCACCGCACTAAAAAAATCAATTAGGGACACAGGAAGTCTTATACTATTAGGTTATAACGCAAAATACAGCAGGACTGGACACTGCAGCCACTTAATCTGTAGGGCAGCCCAGGAAAACACCTCCTCTACCCAGCATGCCTCAGTTTGTAGAATAGAGTACCAATACAATGATCATAAACCCATAGCAGAGGGATCTATGTCCCTTAATGGACTCCAAGAAAATAATTTTATGGTGGGTACAAAAATATAATTTTCTTTCTTGTCCATTGAGCAACGTCCAAAAGCACTTCAACTGAGTGGTGGGCAAACAGCAACAATGCCAATAAGACCAACAACACAGGATTGGGAAACAAGACCCAATTGCCCAAATAGGACACCAGATGGAGCCAAAGTCCCTGACTCCCAACAAGAGCAGAGGGAGGAATGGAAGAATCAAGACTAAGACACAGAAGGGAGCACAGAACTACAAACCAAACGAGTAGCTGGACAACCTGAACACTCCCCCCCCCAAAGGATGGAACAATAACAAATCCTCTTTCCTCTTAAGGTGGGTCATTGGCCGTTCTGCAGTGGATATAGACCACTGTAACAAATTCCCTCTCAAAGGGGAACAGGTCAAATAATTTCATGAGAGAGGGACTATGGGGTCTGATTTGGTCACAGTGACTGGTGGCCCAGCCTCTTCTAGGGTTGTTGGGAGATCATAGATCAATTCTGCAGATGAAACAGAGGCACTCCTAGTGCATCTACAATCAGCAAGGAATTTGGCCATAAAGTCTTGTGTGACTGCAGTAGAGGCCCTTGATGACTCAGCCTCACCTAATGGGGATAAGGGGGATTCTGATCAGATAGATTCAAAAACCTTGGAGTCTCCAGATGTTCGTGCCCTTAGAGCAGGGGTCTCAAACTTGATTCACTTGGGGGCCACTGGACAAATATTCTACCATGGGTGCCGCTTGGCAAATTTCATAAAATGTCATACTTCAAAACTAAATGGAACTATATACGGTAGCAGTGTTAATGTCTGCGTGTGTTTGTGATGGTTTCTTTGTATGCATGGTTAATATATTTTTTGTGACGGTTTGTGTGTGTATGTCAGGATTTGTCCATGTATGTTAATGTTTGTGTGTGTGTCTCATATCAGTATGTATACAGTATGTGTGCAGTGTCCGCATATGCATGTTTTTTTCCACACAGGTTTTAATTTTAATCACAGAGGACCAACAGATTCACACATTCACTCACACAGAGAAACACAACACACACACACACACCTTATTAAAATAACAAAGAGCCCCCTCATCTGCTTAATTTTTTTGCAGGGAGGGGGTACACATTCTCTGGTGGCCCAGTGGGGGATTAGTACTATGGCTGGTACAGACCTTGCTAATCCTTCCTTTCAGCCGGCGCTGAGTGAAGGCTATCAGGAGTGCACGCTGATTTACACTGAATGCCGGTACCTCCAGGAGCAGCTATGCAGTCTGCATCTGCCAGAAATGCAGACCATGTAGCTGCTCCCCCAAGTCAGGTATGCAGTCCGTGACTGCATGCCTGACTTGTCAGCCGGCTGCATGCCACATGGTACACCATTTTGTGGGATGGAATTGGCCCATGGGCCAGTACTTTGTGACCCCCTGCCTTAGAGGGTACAGAATACACCACTCCAGAACCACTGGGAGAGTTTGAGCTGAAGACAGTCATTGCAAAGCGACTTACCCCCCACTGTGTCTAGACATGTTATGACGTGAATGTAAAACAACCAAGCTAAGGGCAGAAGGCAAGGCCTTATGGACCTCACACACTCAAGCAGTTGGTGACCAAAGCATGAGAATCAGCAGGACGGTGCTTTTTTTAAGGCTGAATGGCAGGAAAAAGTGTGCATACGCAGCACTCCACCCCTCAGGGGAAATCCATTCTGTGATTAAATCAATGGTAGCAGGAAATAAAAACAAAACCCCCAGTGGTGCAAATAACGAGTCTTCAAGGACAGAGAAAATCCTGTAGCAATGCCAACAGCACTGGACCTGGAAAGTGCTTCACAGCTAACTTGTTACCATGACAGTCTTGAACGTGCCTAAAGAAGAGTTAAAAGTGAACTATGGGGTAAACTTTTTATCCCATAGTTCTCCTAAGGGTCACGGAAGGACATATACCAACCTCCTCCCATGACCCAAAGCTCAGTATATAGCAGGCTACAGTTCGCCATATACTGAGCGCCGCAGCCGGGAAGGATACCTACAATACTGTCGAGATCCACCCAGCTAGCTGATTGACAGCAGGCTCTGCCTATCTAGCCGCAGAGCCAGCTGTGCCCGCCCCCCCATTCGTTCCTCCAGTCAGCGCTGGAGGATCAGAGAAGGGAGGGGGGAATCCTTGCGGGGAGCGGTGACCAACAGTCACCGCTCTCTGCAGGGAGATGTTCGGAAAGTGAGTGAGCGACCATATGTGTTCGCTCAACTCCCAATCAATAGAGCTGAAATGTGACAGTTTCATTGTCACATATCGTCTCTAACTATGGGGGCGAGTGAAAATCACTCACCTCATAGTTCTCCTTTAAGTGCCCAAAGGTCACTTCCAGAATGGATCTTGTCTATATATTGCCAGGCTCTAACCAGCATATTCTTATTTTGACTAAAGTACACAAAAAGCAGGGATTACTGCTAAAAAGGCCATTTTAGAGTTAACCAGTTAATCTTCAGCACATGTCTAGGTGATCAATGACTTTTCCACCCAAGTGATAATTGCTGTGGTCTCAGACAGGATGGAAAGACCTCTCTCATATGGCTTTGTTGTAGAAGATTTATCTTGTTCATCGAAGAGTCAATAGGTTCAATAGGACACTGGACAGATATGGTCATGGAGCCAAATTTTTGTATCTATGGCCAACTGGACATTACAAAAGCAAAATGCTTTAAAATATACTTACTTAGACACTCGTCCTTGAATTATGGCTAGTGGTCCGGAGCACAATATTGCATCCTGTGAGGACAAACAGTTCCTATAATCTGCGCACTGCGCCAAGAAATCTTGCTTGTCAGATACCAAGTTCCTGTTGCAGAAAAGAAAGCCGTTAACAGAAGTATCAATAATTTGAATTTTCTGCTCTTTGCTCTTAATTTTTTTTTTTTATTGGACACTCAAAAGGTTTTTTTTTTTTCTATTTCAGAACCATGCACTAAGAGTGGATTAGTGGAGGTAAGTGCAGGGCATCTTGTAAATAATTACCTCTTGTCATAAATTCTACTAGTTTAATGTATCAAGCACTTAAAAGCACCCACATAAGATCTGATGCAAAAAATTACCTTCAGAAGTCACAAATAGTTAAATAAAGACCTCCTGTATGCAGTCTGTCACATGATCTCAGTATATATCTGTATATAATGTGTAATATAGCTATATACACATACACACACACGTTATATGAAGACCAAGAAGCTCTCCAAACAGGTCAGGGACAAAGTTGTGGAGAAATACAGGGTTAGGTTGTAATAAAAAATAAAAAACCTATCCAAAAAAACTTTAAACATCCCATGGAGCACAATTAAATCCATTATTAAAAAATGGGAAAAATATGGCACCACAACAAAGCTGCCAAGGGAGGGCCGCCCACCAAAACTCACAGACCAGGCAAGGAGGGCAATAAATCAAAGAGGCAACAAAGAGACCAATGCTAAATCTGAGGGAGCTGTAAAGCTCCAAAAGCAGACAGAGTATCTGTCCATAGGACCACTTTAAGCCATACACAGCTGGCCTTCATGGAAGAGTGGCCAGGAAAAAACGCCATTACTTATAGAAAAAAAATAAGCAAACACGCTTGTTGTTCACCAAAAAGGCATGTGGGATACTCCCCAAACCTGTGCTTACTGCAGGAAGGTGCTATGTGCAGGGACAGCTACTCTCTTCTGCCCCACAACCATCATTGATTACTGTACTGTAGGCACTTTGCCTTCTGTGTTCTGGTATGCCTGCTGACAACTTCTGAATATTTGGGTTATGCTTCTTCTTCTGCATATATCAGACCTAAAGTTTAGTTAAAACCTTTATTATGCAAGATTCTAGGTTACATGATCTGGAAGGATAGATTAGAACCGCCACATACACTTAGTGATTTAAAACTACAAAAGGATCATTAAGATAAAGACTTTATGATTGAAACAATCAAGGTTTGATGTTTTGTGATGTATCGTGTATGATAAAGGTATCTTTAGGAGTCTGCATTGCACCTTACTACAGTACAATAAATTTGGGGTTTATATAATCTTAAATGTGTTGCACAAACTTTTTTTGTCATTTATGTTTGCCAAAACCATTAGATATATTTTTTATATTTGAGCATAATTTAAAAAAGTCTTCTACACATCTGTGCAGCAATTCGGGATTTTCTGGACTCGGATGAGAATCCTTTATTGTTTCGGTGCTACAGTTAGAGCCAGCTCCAAAACTGAAAACTAGAAATACTGCGAAACAAGGGGCCTAGTTGTAAAGGAGCAGTATGACCTTACGCCAGCATATTCATATGACCTGTCAAAATCAGATTTGCAGATCAACTCAGCCTTATCTCTTTTTGTGTTGTTAATTAAAATTATTTACCTTTATTTACCTAGTAGTTTTTACTATACAAAAATCATCAATATGAGCAGCATATACATAATACAAATGCATTTATTTCAGCTTTATGTCTTACCATGTGGAGAGTGCAGGATTAAAGCAATAAGCTTTGCCATTGGACAAGCTTAGCACAGGTATACCTCTCTGGGTAAGCAATGTCTGAGTAACTGTCATATCATTTCCTGGAATAAAAAAAGATATGCATAAATAAGCCCATATTATCAAAATCAATAATCTATCAAAGTAAAAGGCACAGTCCATCCAAAACCAACATTTCAGTTATAGGTAGATACGAAGTCATCCTTTTGGTTTAGTCTAAGGACTGCACTGGGAAGATTTCGCTGATGGACTTTCCAGCCCTGGCACTAGACAGAACATGCAGTGTATTGCAACAGGTATTTTTTGTGATGTAAAATAAAAATCCAACTGGTGGTGGCTGGAACACCGATGTAGGGAAATAGGGTGAAGAGGTCTCACTACTGGAATCCTGAAAAGCTACAAGTCACTCAGTCATTCACCTAAAACTGAAATACCAGTTTAAAGTGGGGTGATTTTTTTTACTTTTTGAAGCCATACTGTTGTAATCCTAACAAAATTCAGTGAGTGGCAACCTGTAAAAGAACAGGCTGCATACTGACTTGTCTGGCAGGTAGCAAGGAAAATCTTAGTTAGCTTCAAGAGCTACAGGTTTTGCCACTTCCTAATATTTCAAGTGTGTCCCCCACTAGGTGCTGTGGCTCTTCACACAGTAACATAGCAGTCACCAGAGGGAACATACTGTAAGTGCCAGTGGTGCCTGAAACTTTTGAAGTATTTTTCATACGCCTGCAGGACAGGTAAATAGTCTGCATATTCTTTTAAAAGGAGCCTCTCATTAGGCTTGATTTACAACAATTAATTAGTTATTAGAACACTACACTGATTTACATTTCAAGGCAATATTTTAAGAACGTTCAATTCACAAGCTTAAATTGTAACCAAGATGTGATTATTTTTCCATTTGAAATGAACATTTTTCTATTGAAAGACTTATTTTCTAAAGACCTGTTAGATTATCAATCGTCTTTCCCCCGCTTTCCTTTACAGACTGCTATGGAAACTTCCAGTTATCACCAGCCTGAAGCTGGGGTTAATGTAAGGGGTGATAACCTGTGTGGTAATCTTTGTAAACTAACTTTTACATTGTTTTCATCATAAGACAGGGCTGGACAAATCCCAGGAGCCAGGTCAAAAATGCTCCCTAAAAATGACAGCTGGTGTCTAACGTTTGAGGTTTTTGTTTGGTTAACATTGTCAGTGGAGCTGAAAACATGCTGGCTCCTGGATTGGTTATACTGGCTCCGGAATTCTCCATTAAATACTTGAATAACGGGGTGTTAACCCCCTTCCTGTCCAGGACATTTTTCAGTATTAAGTGCTTCCAAAATTCTCTGGAATTTTATACCATTTCTTGGGGGACACTAGATTCCTCCATCTACTCTAAACTGTGTGGATGGAGGAATCTCCCACTGGGCCAAGCTTCAGTATCTTGCTAGTCGGCCTCGCTGGCTGTCAAAATACCTAAAAAATGCCAGCATTCAAAACAGATTATCCAGGTATTTTGAGAGCCAGTGGGGCCGACTAGCAAGATACTGAAGCTTGGCCCAGCTGGTGATTCCTCCATCCACACAGGTTAGCACATCTAACCATAGGCTGATAAAAAAAAAATAAAAAAAAAAATATAGTAAGTCTATGGGTGTATTGCAAGCTTAAGGCCCCATTCACACGTAGCGACATACCTTTTGCAGCGGCCGGGATAGCGCGACTTTCGGGGCGACGTTCTCCGTCGGGCTCCATTAGAAAAAAGCAAAATCGCGCAAAATCCGCCGAAAAAAGGGTCCTGTAGAAGCGACAAAAATGCAAAAATGCGCGATATATCGCTATGTATGAATGGGGCCTAAGACCCCTAATGTCGCCTAGGGACCCCCAAAGAAGACGATAAAGCAGAGCTTTGCTTCATCAGTGTGTGGGGGCCCCTTACACTCTTTGGCATCATACAAGTGAACGCTTGTATGGAACAGCCGGTATCAGCTGGTTAAAACTTTTACTGTATTCTGCCTTAGCGAGCAGGGGGGGACTGTCGTTCATGCACAGTGACCCCCAAAAAGGCATGTTGTCTGTCCGTTTATTTACAACAGCAGACCCCAAGTAGTTAAGGGCCAACAAATAAAACAGGGAATATTCAGCAAAGCGAAGTAAAGACACTTTAAGCCACAAATCAGGCAGCCTCTGTCTTACGTGTCTACATGATTTTTTTTGTACTTGCAACCCCTTTACCTGTAATTCTGGGCAACCGACTGAGACAGATTTGCACAAGTTTACAACAGATTTTTCACTGTATTAGACAGATTTTTTTATTCTAAACGGACACACATGACGAGTGGTCAGGGGTTCATTCTGTTAGAGTACCACTTCAGAGCAGCTGAGGGAAGTATTTAGGACTTAAGCTGTAACTTTGTAGTATATGTCATAATTTGTCTCAGTGCATTGTTCTGTAATGTTAGCATTGCCTTGCTGTGCAAAAGAACTGCCCCCACTGGTGGTATAACAGCACTTGTAACTAGTACTATTCCACCACTTACAGGGCAGGTTAAATTAAAAAACTGTTATGTATCTTTGCAAGTTGGGATTTAAAATATTAAGGAAAGCAACAGGGTTTCTTTAACACGAAAACTGCAATAAAATTAAGTGTAACATTTTATTTTTTTTATTAAAAAAATAAATTAATTAAAAAACGAACAAAAAGAAAAAAAAAAATGTAAAAAAGTTCCCTGACCCTACATACACACACGCAAACATTTGTTGAGCGCCTACATGCGAAAGTGACTGTTGTGCCCATTGTGCCGCACGAGTTACATATCATCGCGATCGTTGGAGCAGGAGCAATAATTCCAGGGCCATCAAATACTGTCAACACTAAACTGACGAGTGGTAAAAGCTTTTAAAGCGTCGCCTAAGGCCAATTTTGGGTCTGGTAGTTTGAGATTTTACGGGGGCACGCAATTTTAAGGCTTGGCATGCTTGGTGTCTATTTACCCAACTTGACCCCGTCTTTTACCAAAAAATTGTGGTGATAACTATTTTATAACATAACGTAGGGAAAAGTTTTCAAAATTTTCGGTACTTTTTTGTTATAAGTAAAAAATAAAAACCTCAGTGGTGATTAAATATCACCAAAAGAAAGCTCCGTGTCACCAAAAATGGTATAAAATTAATTTCAGTACAGCGTTGCATGACGGAATAAATGTCAAAGTACCGCAGTCCTGAATACTGAAAAATGGCCTGGACAGGAAGGGGGTGTAAACACCACAGTCTTCAAGTAGTTACAATACATGATGACATTCAGATTATTAATTACCTGATAAAATGGGCTGTAAAGACTCGTCCTTTACAACAACTGCCTGGTTCTGGACATCCCTATAAAGACAGAAAAATATATCTATTCAGACAGTGTATTAAATACCACTAGTGTAAAAAAACTAGGTGACCAATACTAAAATTTTGTTAACAAATTCCCCTATTTCTATTTTATAGGAAATTCGCAAGCCCATTTATGTAGAACATAGAGTAAGTTTTAATTACCCATATACATAGACTGGTAAAACTTGACACAAGTTATGGTACTTACCAGACAGACAAAGCAGCAGTGGCTGTAAGTGCCATGACATAATAACCTGTACATTGCAATGCAGAAATAGGGGAGGACAGGATGATAGGTGGGAATACTCTTCTTCCACTACCAGAAAACATGGACAACATTCGCTTTTCACAGGCCACACAGACTACCTCACTGCAGAAGGAGAGAAAAGATGATTTGAATATGGCTATGCACACACATACATTTACACTAGGGATGCACCAATACTAGTATGTACAGCCAATCAGGAAGCCGGGGGGGGGGAAAGGCACACCCCCTGGCTTCCTAATTGCCTGGGAAACCGGCTCCATGCTCCCATGTCACTAAGAGGAAGCATGGAACCGGCTTCAAGGCCATTCAGGAAAGCGAGCGGCATGTAATGACTCGCCACTTGGCTTCCTGATTGACCAGAAAGCCATCTCCATGCTTCCTCATCACATGGTGACGTCGCTTCCTTAATGGGACTTCTGGTATCGGTGTTGGTGAGTACCGAAAAGAAAAAAAAGAAAAAATCTAATTGGTACTTGTACTCGATACTGAAAAATCAGTATCGGTGCATCCCTAATTTACACACATTAAAAGGTTACAAAAACGTACTTGCTGCCAGCTGCTGCAAGGATTCGGCTTGCCAGTACAGTCTCCCACTCCTTTCCTTCCCGATTACACTTTAGCCGGCTCAGCTTTGATCCTGCCACTACCCGGACTTCATTTTCTACTTCAATATACATTGATGGATCTGAGCTTATCTGGAAAGTAAAAGGGTGAATGACCCTAGACTTTAAGACTTTCAGCAACCAAAATCAAACCAAAATCAACTCAAACAACATTAAAATAGTTCTGGAATGATTGACACATCAGTGTTTAATTTGGTTAGCCATTTCTGGTCCCACATGTACACTCACTTATCAGGCCATTTCCAGTTTTCAGTGCTGCGATAGTTTCACTGACAATTACTTGGTAATGCAAAAGTATACCCAAAATTCATTTTAGAATTTTATTTATTTTTTGCTTTGGACAGAGCTTTTTTTGGTGGTATTAAACAGCAAAACAGCCACTGTTTTTATTTTTTTACTGCATGGCAAATCTAAAATGCCATGACAGTAATTGACAGGATTAAATCAATTATTTGATTTGTAGCTTTTCTCTCCCCTACCTCTGTTGTAAGATGAAAGGGGAGAGCTTATTAATGTAAACATTGCTATGTGATTGTCAAGGTGAGCAATCAGAGCTATCACAAAACATTGAACCGATCCACTGGCTTTGTGCCTGTAGCCAAGCCTCTGCACTGTCTGACAGAAGGTGCAATGTGAACACAAAGGTATACACAGCAGAACACAGAATGGGACCCGAGAGTAAGAGGGAGGGAGCAATCTGTCAAGGCTCTATTGTTAACAGGGAAATGTTTACAGAAGGGGAGAGCACAGAGATGATCTCAGGGTGTTACTGCTCTGTAATTTCAGTCACACATTGGGGTAGTTCCTGGAGTAGGCTGCACTGCAGTATAATCAGCAAGGAGGCCCTGTGCTATGTTGTCTGGATAACAACACTAGATAACATAATTACACATTGTGTGCTAGTAAAACAGTCTCCAATTTAACCATTTGCCAGCAGTTTAGCTTTAAGGCGATTGTAGGCATGAGATGATGGCATGCAATCCAACTTTACATATACATAAAGCTCATCTAGGCCATGTTCAAGCCCTGTGCAGACATCCCTAAAAGGTGGCCATACACTGTACAACCATCGCAAGACCTTAGTTTTGCGATGGTTGTAAAGTGATTAAAAAAAACGTATGATCTGCCCATCTTGGACAGGCAGATTGCACTCTCGATCATCGCAAGCCCGCCCCCCTGAGGGGTGGGCTTCCCATGACCGCAATGCTGAATGGGCAGTGTGCACGTGCTCACACCGGCCCGTTCGGCATTTGTCTCCCGAGCACCGTTCAAACCAGCCGAAAATCGTACGATTCTCGGCTGGTTTTCTAACATGCTCCTTAGACAAAAGACGTGCGACCGTCCAGTAGAAACGGTCGCACGTCTTCGTTCACACTGTTCGATTCTCGTACGAGAATCGAGCAGTGTATGGGCACCTTTAGACAAATCAAACCTGGTTGTCTGTCAATTCCGCAAAAAATACACACACTTGATTGGTCAGCTAGGGAGTGTGTTGCAGTCAAGATTTGTTTCAAGCTGACCGTATCTGTAGGTCTCGTTTGCCATAAATGCGCATGTGCAGCTAAGTGCACAAACTTGTGTTGGGACAAAGAAACTCACAATCACAGAAGTTTATAACATCCGGGAAGGAGATCAAGAGAAGATGGAAGTGCTGTCGACAGAGGGGACATAGCATTGCTGGAGGAGGGGCACTTTGCAAGGTGTAACATAATATACTTGCACATTATGGCAATACCTCCTGGTGGCCTCAAAATGTTCAAATGGTTTAGTGTCGCTTTAAGAAATGTGTAAAGCAAAATACCCCTTTAATTACCAGCACAACTCCGTGTAAAGTATGCCAAAAATGTAGCGCTTACCTGTACAGTAAAGGATTTCAAAGAGGCTGGAGTTGGCAGCCTGAGTGTTAATGCTGGTGTAGTTACACATGTTAACTCCTTCTCAGAAGTTGTTGCCACTTGAGACTAGATGAGCAAAATACAAAAAGAATTGTCATTTTTCTCCAGTTATTCAAAGATTACAGGATATACAGATGAAAAGTAAAAAATAAATCTTTATCAATCTTATGGAAGGAAAGGGAAAAAATGGTGATGTCTGAGAAATTATAGTAAAGTCAATTTAGTAATCCTGGAGGAACTGCTCTGTTCAGTTTAGCTAAAGGGGTTTGGGTAAGATGGAAGGAGAGAGAGGTTAGAGAAGATGGATCGAAGGGGAAAAATCATACCCTCTCAAGTCAGCTTGGGAAAATGTACCCTGCAAGCCCTAACTACAAAAGCATTGTTCAGTCCGCCGATAAATTACCAGTTGAAATAGCACCACCTTCAGCAAGCATTTGTCAAGATCTGAGCAGCTTTCTTGAAAGCCAGCTAAAGCCACCCAAAATATACTTATTATTGCTGAAAGCAAAGTACTTGAAGAGCAAAGATGATAGTTGAAATGTTTTATGTTGCACGATATTTGCGCAAAATGCTTATCTACTCTATACTTTAAGAAAAGAAAAAAAATAAATCAAATTTTATTAATTGAATTCTAAAAGATGAGACTGCCAAGTAAATACGCAAGTGTGTCCTGGTTGCATGTATTTATCCATTTATGTAATAGGATTCTTAAGAACATATCAGACCCATTGAACGGATTTGACAGCTGTGGACCCAGAATTGCTCAAAGGTGAGCTCAGGGAATGAATGTTCCCAGCTTTTCCCAAGCTCACCAGATGATAATTTTTTAGGGTCCCAGACTCCCAGGAGTAGGTAAGCCTGGGAACTATGCACCATATAGAAGTGACCAGAAACCTCTACAGCTGGCTGGATCACTTCTACATAAAATACAGAGCTAGAAGATGGCAAACCCACGACTTCTGTTGCAGGTGCGAGCACGATTTAACCCTTTCATTTTTTAATTAATTTAAGCTGCACCCAGTATTCAGTATTCTGGGTGCTTTAAGGATTTGAAAAAGGTTGGAGTAAAGCTTAACAATTGCTTGCTAAAGCTGATGCCCTTCAGAACAGCATTTACGAGCAAACAAAAACAATGCCCACATTATGCATCCATAATCATAACTACAACACTATGGCTGTTGGTTCACTGTCAAGGTGTAAGTACTATAGCAGTAGACTGCTGTGCCCTGAATTATTACAATATTTTATTAAAATCCAACTTCAGCCAAAAATTATTTTCTTCTAGTTTTGGAGAATGCAGGGATGGGGTTTTAGATGACCAAGTCCCCTTTGAGATTTCTCCTCTGTCCTGATGTCTGACAGTCATCACCTGGAATGGAAGTAAAGAGCAACATCTCCAGTGGGGGTCAAAGAAAACAATAAAATGTAGCAGCATTCCCATAATAAATGTGTGCCCCAAGGGGGGGAACAGACAGGGCAAAAGGAGAAATCTCTAAGGCCTTGTTCACACCAAATGCAGAGCAGATCTGCATGAGTTTCTGCACACGCAGTGGGTTGTGTCGCGTTTTATAAGCATTCCGGGCTGTTTTTGGTAAAAAAAAATATATATATTTTTTTAGTTTAAAATGGGCTTTCAGTGCATTTGCATGCTTTCCAGAGCAGGTAAAATAGGGCTTGCTGCAGTTTTTTTTACCTGCTCTGAAACGGAATGCTGCATTTTGAACTGGAGCCCAAAATACCATTGGAATATAAAAAAAAAAAAAAAAAAAAACAAACAAACATTGACAGGTTGTTATTCCCCAGCCAAACCAAAAAACACACACAAAAAAAAAATTATGTTTTGGCTGGAATTGGGCTCTGCTTGCATTACAGAGTGAACAGGACTGGCAATTGAGGTATGTGAAAATTAGAAATAGTTTTTGGCCCATAAAATTGAATTTTGGTGCACTGGCTAAAAAAGAACAGTAACCTGCACAGCAAGAGAGACGGACATAAGCCGAGAGTCTTTCCGAGGTCTTCCCTTCTTTCTTTTTTCACCAAGGTCGCCGTCCGTTTCAACCTTTCGCTTGGAAAGAGATTTGGTTACAATCTTTTCTTCGCTGTCACTGCTGCTGTCCAAGAGATCACGTTGCTTTGCTTCTTTAGTAGCATTCTGATCTTTCGGTCTGTGTAAAGAATGAAAAGAACAGGTGTCTTGGGAACTGATGGATAACATTTAAACTAAAGGTGTCCACAAAACATTGCATGACAGTCTCCCGATCCAGCAGGATAGGTTGACAATCCTTTTGTCAGAATATCTATAAAGTAGGGCTGGTAATGATTCAAATTTTCGTGTTCGATTAATCGAAATTTTTTAAAAATCGATTAATCGATTAAATTAGATTATAACGCACATACTGTATGTGTGGCCTATACACATACAGCACAGCAATGAAGCAATAAAATGAACTAGGATAACACTAATCCAGCACGTTATTAATCTCACGTGCCCCACTCAATATGGCCGCCGCTTGAGTGGGGCAACTCAGAATAATAACGTGCTGGATTAGTGTGATCCTAGTTCATTTTATTACTTCATTGCTGTGCTGTATGTGTATAGGCCAATGCCTTGGCTGGCGCTCATGCAGAAAGTTTCTTGGGCAAACTCACCGGCCCAAGTGGCTCCGTCGGCTAACAAAGGGGGGAGGAGTCCGGTGACATCACGGACATCGACGTCACCGGACTCCTCTTCCCTTCGTTAGCCATCACGGACATCGACGTCACCGGACTCCTCTTCCCTTCGTTAGCCATCACGGACATAGACGTCACCGGACTCCTCCCCCTTCCCTTCGTTAGCCGACGGAGCTACCTGGGGAAGGGGGGAGGAGTCCGACGGGACTCCCGGAAGCCAGCGGAGAGGTGAGTGTTTTCATTAGCGATCAAAATAATTTTAAAATCGATCAAAAAGTTTATTAATCGAGAAATTCATCTTTAATTTTCACAGCCCTACTATAAAGGAAACGTTGCCAGGTATCCTCAAGTTAGTCTACATATTTGCCTGCCATTACACAGCCCCAAAAGATCCTGCTCATGAGACAAAAGCATCACCAGATCCCTCCTCTTTAAGGCTAACTTGGGAGCAATATAAAATGTATCCATTAGGATTTTTAAAATACATGTATTTACAGGAGAGGTGTCTTGTGATCTTTTGAGTTGTGTGTGAGATGTGTGTGAGATGTGCCCTGTGATATCATCACAAAGTGCAGTAAAGAGCATTGAACAGTGACAGCTGGGGAAGGGGGTAGGTTATGTATGGTGTCCTACCCATCATCCTGCACAAATAGGAGCACCAAACATTTCCATGGTAAGATCAAAGCTGCCTGCATGGAACTACAGACGGATTGAGAGGTGACCGGTCTTCATAACAGGAAACAACAACCTTTACCCAACCTAGAGACTGGCGCCTTAAACAGTTTCCAGTGTCTGAGAAATTTTAGCGTCAAATTGATGGTCAAGTTAATAAAGATGAACATGCTGCATTACCCTGTGTATGTACCCGAGTTTAGAAGAAAGAAGCAGACAGAAGCCTGGCTAGAAGACATCATGAGGTGCTTGGATTGAACATGTCCAGACATCCATTCTCTGATGTCTTTGGCCAACTATAGAAAGTAACCATGTAACCATCAGTTACCACGTTGGTGTACATACTTGTCTGCAGAAGTCTGGTTGGTGTGAGAAACCCCTGTTGTGCCCGAGGTGGCTTTTGATCGCTCTGTAAATCGTGAGTCTAGTGCTTTCATAGGTTCAATCTTAGGCTGAGTTGAGACTCCTATGAGGGCCGTAGGAGTAGCCGGAGCATTTCCACTACAAAAAAAAGAAAAATGATAAATTAAAATTACTAGCATTCTCTTCAACAATACAGAAAGATGCATGCTATGTTTTGCATCAATTAAAGTCCTTCAGGGCAATGCTTCACTTCACTATTGGATGCATCTTAAAAGCAACAAAAAGTAGCAAGATTAAAACACCACAGTGATAATATAAATGCAGTATGGCCAATTTATTTATGTAATATATCATTTTGCTTTATAAACATTAAAATTTATATTTAATGCAAAATATCGTGAGCCATGTCCCTGGTCACCTGTAATGTCATGACTGTAGTAGTCACAGCTGACAGTTCTCAGATTATCAAGCATGGACTGTAACTTTTACAAAATAAATAAAAAAAATTAAAAAAAACTGTATACCGAAAAATACCTGTTTCTCGCCACAGAGCATTTGGAGGGGTGACAACAATGCTTACTGCTTTAATGATAAAGAGAAGAACCTTAGGCGTAGTTGTCACTGTAACCGATATCTATTGGTAAGTTTGCTAAAATAAGTGTAAAATCTAATCTTTATAGCTTCTTATATTCTTAATATTAAAATTACTGGAGACACAAAAACACACAAAAAACAACAACTTTAAGATAGTCTTGTTAGTTACATTTTTTTCCTTCAGTGTAGAGTGGAGGGAATTAGAACACTTGTCGGATCCATATTACGGTCTGTTTCCCATTAGGATTCATCTTCTCTATAGGACATGGTGACTTAAGATAATCCCAAACTTTGGGCGGTTACCAAAGGAGGAATAGATGGGAAATCTTCCATTCTTAACACTCACTATTTCTAGAGACACTGCTGACCACCAGGGATTTCCCTCACTTTGTAGGGGCTAACGGCAAGAAAACGAATGGCTATCTCCCCAATGGGACACACATGGCAAAAAATAAAAACAAAACTGACTTTCTCTATCCAAAACTAAAAGTTGTACTTGACATGAAACAAATAAAAAACTAAAATCTGTGGAAGTTTAATATCACACCTCTCTTTGTTTGGAGTTTCTTCAGTGGACTTTGCATTTCCCATAGGGTCCAGGCTTGACTTGGCCCCCTGTGAACTAGTTGTGTTGGAATCCACAGATATGAGCTGCTGGTTGCTCTGAGAGGAGAGCATAGACCCTGCCAGTGACCCTGATATTGGGATACTATTGAAAAATGCTGTAGAAAAGTCTCTGAAAAAAAACAACCATGCAAATGTATGTGAAGTCTCATGGTCAAAATGTACAGTATATACTATTTACTGCATCAGCAACCTGTACTTACCCAGTGTCCAGCTGGGCAATACACAATGGCGTTATCCTCCGACGACCATCTGCTGTCCGTGTTTCCACTTGTTTCTTTAAAAGATTCTAAAACATGTGCAACATTTACTTAATACAGTAGCTCTAAAACCTAACTGGATAACATTTACTTTGCTAAAGTACTGCGTTTCCAATAACTGCCTTTTTTTATTCTTTAGAAAATACGGTTTTCAACTTTATTTATTTTTAACTTAGCTGTGCGGATCTCCTTTATTCACTTTGAGTACATGCACTTACACCAGCATCAGCTGCATGTCATTGCCAGCTCCCTTATAAGTGACAACTGCTCAAAGAATGTCAGCACTGTTACTTTTAGTCTCTGCTGGAAGTGTATGTATCAGAGTGACAAACAAAGAAGAGCAACTGAGGAGGAAAAGTGACAGAACATGTCACCCCTTGATAAACCTTCATGGGTGATACCAAGTAATATTTTTAGTTAAAATCACATATAAAAAAAAAAAAATGAAAATCAGTTCTGAATTACATTAAAGGGTTATTAAACCCTCATTTGGTTTTGCATTTCTTTAAGGCTAGCAAGCAGTAGATATATGCAAAATGATTGAAGAATTTTTTTTTTAAAAGGGTTAATACTTACCTGTGTCTTCGCCACGCGCTCCCATCCGAACATTTCTCGGGCGGCCGCAAAGGATCTTGGGGCGGGCGCATGCGCAGTACGGATGTTTGGGCGGGAGACGAGGAGAGACACAAGGTAAGTCTATGGAGCAGCGTGCACCCGCACAGACACCGTGGGACATGAGCGAAGAGTAGGACAGAGGAGTCAGCGCTGGATCGGAGACCTGCACCAGCGCTGGAGGGACATCTAATAACTACAGGAAAGAGGCATCATTTAAGGTAAGTCTTTACTTTAGCACTGTAGGGGGGCGGGGACTTTAGCCTTTAATGTCACTTTAACAGATGTAAAAAAAACATATGCAAATGTATACAAATGATTTGAAATCTCAGAGGTTGGGTTTAGATTTACTTTTGAATTCATACAACGCAGATGTGTTACGGTTTCATTGCAGCCAGCAGCTGACAATTGTGTACCTTTCTGATGTCTTCCAGGCTCTCTCCATTTACCATACTGGCTACTTTTGGAGCCTGGCTTTCCCTCTGTGTAGCTGCACCATGATCTCCATCCTGCTGTGCCTGCTGCCTCTGTTGAAACTTTAGCATTTCAGGGTTCTCTATAATGGTGTTGGGAATTTGTGACCCAGCTGTGATGGCAAGACTTTTTCCATAAGTGCTTTGGTGGATGTTATTCTGTAATAAAATACACAATGTAGAAGATCGGTCAATATAAATAAAAAAAAAAAGAAATCATGACATTTAATACCAATATAGAAAACAGCTTTGAGGAGAAGAATCCTCCCATAAGAAAAAGGGGGTACAATATATTACACAAAAATGCATACAGGAATACAGAATGGTTTGTTACCTTCTCCTCTTCACTCAATGGATCACCCAGCTCGTTTTGTGAAAAATCCAAGTAAGCGACTGATCCATCCATTGAACACACCAGTATGCCCAGCCCATTCAACGTCCTGTAAATAATCAAGGGGACAAGCTGCTATGAAAATGCTATAGTAGTGAAGTGGTTGAAAAGGGATGGGGGAGCGGTAGGATAAAAGCTTCTGTCACTTGTCCAGAGTTTAATTTATCAATGATGAAACCCTTGGGGCAGCAGTGACTGGAAGAACAAATATTTTATTCTCACACATAGACATGTTAGATGAGTATGCTAAATATATTCATCACAAGCACTCTCCACCAGCTATACATAAAAACAAGTTTTAAATAAATTGGCACACACTTATCTATGGCCAACTTTTTGGGGGCTAGAATGGGGAAAGGTTAGAACCTCTGCCAGGCTTTACTGCTGTTCGGGGCCTCAACAGAGATTTCCCCCTTCCCTTTCTGTTCTACGAAGAACATTTTACCAGACAGGAAGTCATCTTTAAAGTGTATTTCCCCATGAATTAGGCCTTCACCCAATTGATCTCTTGCTCTCTATGCATTTCAGGCATCACTATTTTTTTTCCCTTAATTTACTGCAGTTTTATTTTAATGAAAACATCTGTAATTCACCTAAAAATAGTAGCTTAGTCCGTCTTTGCCCTAGCCTTCTATAACCCCCTGTAGACCAGAACTCAGACTGAAAGAGGAAAGTGTAGCATTGCAAGCCAATTAGGCTTTCTGCATTGCACAGTCCAGTGAATCCAACGCAGTTCGATGATTTAAGGACAGAGCAGAGCGGACCTCACCAGTGAGCTGTCTTTGCAAAGCTATACTGCTTTGACTGCAGTGAAGTAAACATGGCCTGCTAAAGTGTCTGCCAAGGGTTCCTGGATTAGAAAACCAACTAAAAAATAAATTAATTTGTCAGCAGGTAAGACATATGTATTTGCAACTGTATCGTTAGCTGTTTGCCTACACCTTGAAGTACACCCGTCAGGAAAAACGTCTACATTCAGCCATTACTGACTTCTTTCTGAAAATGCTAGTAACTTGGCTTTGTCTGGTTTCGGACTACTTTTTGAGTCACAGATCCAGATCAAGCATGCTATAAGGCTAGGTTCACACCATGTCCGGAACAGATCTGCAAACGTCGTGCAGTGCATTTTTGCCATGTTAAAAATGGGCCTTCAGGTGCAGTCCAGTGCATTCCAGCACATTTTGGGTGTGTTAACATGCATTTTTGTGTGTTCCAGTCCAGGAAAAAAATTGTGTATGCAGCAATTTTTCCCTGCACCGGAGCAGACTGCACTGGTGTGAACAGAGCCCAGATATACCATAGGAATATATTGGGATGCATTTCAAGTGCAGACAAAAACTGTTTTGGTCCGGATATGGTGTGAACAAGCCCTCAATGTGTCAGAAACCCCATCCCCCATATGGCCTATTAGGCAGATATGACAGTTATCAACCCTCTTTTGCATTTTAGAGTTTGCTGACACAAACAAGTCCCAAATGTTTTGCACAGGAATTACCTGGGAATTATATTAGTGAATAGGAAGCCCCCAACATGTACAGGGTGCCCTGTTCCTATAATGTGAACCCTCACTATGTGCAGTGAATGCATCCAAACCAAAAAAAGCATAACACTTGAGCAATACAGCAAACAAAAAACAATTACCATGAGATATCCATAATAGATTTGTCAAACAGATCGTGGATTACCACCAATGGTCTTTTAAGGCAGGTGAGCTACAGAAAAAAAATATTCTCTATTACTATTAAGTCACATTTTTATGTCATATTGAAAACATTTGTATACATTTGTTTAAATATGTTACAAATATTAAGTCCTGAATGAAGAATTGGCAGACAAAAGGAGAACTTTGAGGGGAAAAAACTAGAAATCTTTAAAAGGGTCAGCGAATGTTTATATATTCTGTTTAATGCAAAAATTACTAAAAGCACAAGTGACCATACAGAAATCTAAGAAGCAGTTATTGAGAATCAACATCAAGGAGAGCAGAGTCACATGAAGCTCATTGGTATAATTGCAAGCGTTATCATTTCAGATTATTCATGCATTTTACAGGGCATCCGCCAGGCTATGAAATGGTTTTCAACACTACAGCCTCTAATTTAACCAAAATATAGTTCCCTCATTATTTAACCCCTTCATGGGAGGCCTTTTTTTCATTTTTTTGCACCCATGTTATATTCCACATTTTAGGCCTGAAAATTACTTCAAACCCCCAAACATTATATATATATTGTCTGAAAGCCAAGACCCTATAGAATAAAATGGTGGCAGTTGCAAATTTTTATGTTGCACGATATTAGCGCAAATCCTTATCAAACCCCAAAATGTAGTGAAAAATTTACTTAAAATGGCCCAAAACACAAATAAAATACCCATTTTAAAAAATAAAATAAAATATAAAAGATGGAGGTTACAACGAGTAAATAGATACCCAACATGCCCAGGTGAAAAATTGTGTGCGTCCGTGAAATGGCGACAAACCTCAGTACCCCAAAAAGTCCATAGACGACGCTTTAAAAGCCCCCACAGGTTTTTAGAGATAACCAAAAATAATGGCCCTAGAATTATTGCTCTCACTCCGGCGAGCGCAGCGATACCAAACATGTATAGACGCGTTTACGTGGTGACTCGCGTGCTCGCGGGGTACTTTAAATACATTTTGGATTATTTTATTTCATTTTAATTTTAGAAACTAATTTTTTTTTTTACTTTGCGAGTGCTATCACATAGGGGGGCTTACAAGCCCCCCAATGTGATAGCAGATGGTGGTGACAGGTACTCTTTAAAGGTGATGCTGGGGGTCCAAAAGACCCCCGATGTCACCTTTACACACTCAATAAGCTATTGAAGTGCAGATCGCACTTCAATAGCTTATAGCTGGGCTTCAGGAGCCCGGAACTGACAGCTATAGGACCGGAAGTGATGAAATCTACATCGCTTCCGGTCCCATAGAACGGGGAGGGGAATCGACGAATGGAGGATCGTCCATCTCCTCCCCAGGTCCCCGCTGACACCAGAGAAGCCGGTCCCGAGCCTGTAGGAGGGGCAACGGAGCCCAGGAAGCAGGGCGGGGGTGTCGGGCGGGAGGGGGACCCCTTCACCGGGCTATAGAAGCAATCTGGCGACAGCCGAGTCGCCAGAATCACTTCTATTGTAAAGCCGACAGTCAGCTTTACAAGTTTAAACACTGTACGTCGTCAGTCACAAAGGGGTTAAAAGGAGCTATATGTTTGAGACAACCAAGTCAGTGCAATACATTTCTAGCAAGGACAAAGTAGCTTGGGGAACACTTTATTTCGAAGATTCCCAAATAGGGCATCCTCGCCAGTGAGGACAGACAAAGTGAAAGCTGTTTGAGGAAAATAGAACAATGTAAAGATTAAATGTGAAGTTCTAATAAGAAGATAGATTTGACTCACCCACACAGAAAGTGAACGATCCTTGCTACCTACTGCACAGCAGCAGTACGGACAACTAGCCTTATTGGAGCTTCCATTCTTTTGTTTCTTTTTGAAGATTTTTGGATTAAATTTCTAAAAAAAAAAATGGATGTTTAGAATATTTTGTTTTGTTTAACTAACAAGTCAAAACGACAACATTGTTGTTAAATACACCATAAGGAGAAATAAAGCCACTGCAGATGAATGCAATTGTCTTGTGTTCATTATCAAGCCTGCACTAAAATAAAACAGGGGAAATCTTACAATCTGCTATGGGCAACATAGATACTTCTCTTGCATAAACATTGCATATAGAAAACCAACAGTACACAGACTTTTTGCATCCAAAAGCAATTCACTAGTAAGCAACAGAATACATTCAATAGAAAATGTAACTGTCCATCAGTAAAATCTGGGTTAGCTTAGCACATACTTAAAAAAAAAAAAAAATTGATGTTCTCTATAGGATATAAAGTACTGTTGATCTTACCACAACAGTGACTGCTTTTCGATGCCCCACAAAATCCATGTTGGTTTTCCAACCATCACGCTCAATAATTTGGGCTGTTGGCCCGGAGTTGTTCATTGCATGTGCCGATACCAGATAATGTCCATCAGGGGACCAACTAAGACGCAAGACGTGGGTGGTCCCTCCACACTGTGAGAAAGGTTTGGAGTGCCAAGAGTTAGTTACATGCTGGGCGCAACCACAGCCGTTACAGTAGTATATAATAGTCAAATAACCCAATATAAAATCAGTAACTGTTTTGCACTCCATGGGAAAAAATTCTTGCAATTAAAATAGTGTTGTAATTGTTTGTCCAGCCATTAAGGTCATGTATGCTGGTCCCACTAAATGACTTGTACCTCATCAAATGGTTTGGTGATACTGGTTTCTAGCTGCCAGTCCATGGTTCGCCAGACCTTCAGGCTGTGGTCATCAGCTTGAGAAGCAATGTACTTTCCTACAGGGTCCCAAGTAAGTCCCTTCACCAGTCCGGAGTGGCCCCTCAATGTAGCAATAATCTCTAGATTACAAAAAGAACATAATTCATTTGAGAAGTTTCAGTTAATTTAGTACCACTGCATCATTAACCTATAAGACCTGTGCAGTCATCAGGGGGAGAGGGATCATTTACACTTACCTGGAAACTTCAGTGCATTCCATATTACCACTGTGTTATCCACACTACAAGAAGCTAACCAGGCATCATGAGGAGACCATGCCACGTCCATTACATCTGAGAAACAGGTTTATAATGCACTTAGTGAGGATGTAGAAATACAAGAATATTAAATAATGGGATTAAAAAAATATTTTTTTTTGCGTTCACAAAGTACTTGCCTCCAGAATGATGCCGGAGAATGATTAGGCAGCGCCATTGCTCTACATTCGCAAGTTTATTACTGGAGCCAAAAACAGTACTGGGTCCAATAAACCTAAGATATAGTAAACAGTACAGTGCAGTTAATGTATGTACATAAAATTCATATTCATCAGTGGATATATATCGTATATTATGTACATCTGATATCCACGGGAACATTTAAGTCTCCTGCATGTTCCATTGCAATGTCTGTTTACATATCAAATAGAAATTGAGCTCTAGCAGTTGAGACCTATAAGCAAGCCATTTCTAAATTGACATTCAATATATTATTTCGGCAAGTAAAGAAAATTTTTAGTTTCACGCCCATCTTTGGGCAAATAACAGACATTCCACCTGGGCTGCTGAAGGAGAGTAAAACTATCAGGGTCCATTAGGACTGCATAACCCCATGCACATTAACTCGTGTCACATTTAGTATTTTATCTATCACAGGAATTTTATATAGCACTCACGATTTACATATTGTGTATGCAAATCACTAAGGCCTCCCATTAGATGTGATTGGGCTGACAACACATTGCAGCGCACATGTTAAACTAACATGCACTATTTGCTTTTAATGCAGCACACCAAACATTGCAGTGCATTATGATGCCATTCAAAATGTACCGCACTTAGCTTTGTATGTTACTAGGTGTGGTAATGCGTGTGTGTTACTGAAAGTCAGTCGCCTCAATAAACAAACCTTTCAGTTTCCTTTCAGGTAAACATGACAACAACCAGGTGCCGAACCAGTTTTATGTGCATATGTTATCTAAACTGAGCACAGGCAGCAAATAGGATAGCCTTACAACTAAAAATCCATGATAAGTGCAGGAATACAAGAGTACAGATTCAGATAATAGATTCCCAATTGTGACTGATTCTTTCAAAACTGCTATACAAATAAAAAGGTACAGGTTTGAGCACTTACCCAGATTTTTTCCACACCATGATAAGCTTGTCATCTCCTCCAGATGCTAAATATGCTCCATTGTTGGACCATCGAACGCAGTTCACACACGCTTGAAGAACATACGCAAGAATTAATCCACTTTCTTTATGGCACCATGAAGACACACCACATACACTGTTCAAAAAAAAAGTTTCCCACTACCTAGAGCAGGGGTAGCCAAACTCCGGCCCTCCAGCTGTGGTAAAACTACAAATTCCATGAGGCATTGCAAGATTCTCACAGCCACAGACATGACTCCCAGAGAGAGATGCATCATGGGATTTGTAGTTCTCACCACAGCTGGAGGGCCGGAGTTTGGCTACCCATGACCTAAAGCAAGGTTGTAAAACCCAGTGCGAATAATATGATTTGGTACCTAGGTGGTTGTCCATCTGGCACAACATCTTGGGAATACTTTCATTCTTTTCATCTTCCTCCTTAACCACAGGTGGCATATTCCATATGACAACTTTTCCAGAGTCTTGCCCTAGGAAGAAAGATAGCATTGAAATCTAAAACAGTGCCATACTTACTAAACAGCAAAACTTTGGTTAGGCAATACTGTTAGTGGCTAGGAACAATACGGCATAAAAAGTAATGATCACTAAGGGGGCCATTTAGATTGGAGAGTGGTGCTCTGTTAAGTTCTTTGCTTAACCTCCCTGGCGGTCTGATTATTTCCTTTTTTTTTTGTTCGATTTTTTTTCATTCCCGCCAGTTCTGCCCCCTTGCGACGCGGACGCTCGCAAGGGACGGAACCCAGAAAAAAGGTGCCGGCATCGGCCAGAGGACACAGCGCGGCTCGAGGGGCAAGGTAAGAGATGTAATCCCGAGTGTGGCTCGGAGTTACCGCTTATGGTACTAAAAATTAACCCCAAGCCACACTCGGGATTATCGCCAAGGAGGTTAAAGCTGCAGAAGGAAGTCTGTACCTGAAGGAGGAGGCAGTCACACTACCTTGACAGGTCATGTAACATGGTTCTTCTGGCGTTTTCTTTTTTCACTAAAATTCACATCAGCATGCAGCTCTGCATGTGCCTCATCGCACAAAAAAAGACCATACGACATTACGCTCATGATGAGGTACAAATGACATCGGCGAAGAGATGTAGAGAAGTAGGAGCTGGCCACCAGTAATGTTATTTTTTTAAAACTGCAGCATGGGCAGGACACATGCAGTGTATATACAGTCGACCCCCAAAATTCACGGGGGTAATGTTCATAGAGCGCCCACGAATTGTGAAAAACTGCAAATTCAGAATGTGGTCAAGAAAATGTCTATTTTTATAGTTTAAACCCTAAATAATGCCCTCAAACCACTTTAATTTCATTTCAAACTCAGCTTAATACATTACCCTTAAAAATAAAAAGAATGCAAAAGGTAAACCCGTATACTATACAGTACTGTACTGCTATGTCTCCTGCAGTGCTAGAATGAAAAATACCGATGTTAACCCTATATGGGAAAATTCCGCAAACGACTGAGGCCGCAAACTCTGAACCGCGACTTCGCGGGGGTCGACTGTATGGATAAATAATTAAAAATAAGGTGCACTGACACACGTAGGTGTACTTGTTTATCCAAATAGTTTTAGACTGCATTGGAATTATTTTTGAACAGGAAGGTCTGCTTTAAATGTCATTAATTTGAATGGCATCCACAGCTAGAGAAGCACAATGCACATTTCTAAACCACAACACTCAGCTTTATAAAATGTGCAGCTTTCGCCTTTTTAAAGTGGCTGCAAGGCCATATCACCGATTTAAAACTGGGGCCCCAAATTTATTTCATGACTATAAAACAGTTTTTAGCATAAGCTCAAATCTGACAAACTATTTTTTTTTTGAGAAATATGAGAAAGCAAAGCGACTGCATAACAGCAAACAAACCAGCAGCTAAGCCGCAAAGCTGTACAAGCCTGACAATGAATTGTATAAATTATCAATAGCGGTTCTGTCTTCCTCTTCATACACCAATTTTTTGAATGACTTAACTTGCTGGTCATTTTTCCAAAGCATTTGTATGATAAACATGAGCCATCAGTGGTATACTTGAGGAATATTTTGGAAAAAATACTTACTTTACCATTACTAAAATACAGGAATATTGAAAATATCTTCTACATAATGTTTTTAACATACCTTGTCCTCCAGTAGCAAACTTTGTGCCATCGGGGTGAATGTCCACTGAAAAGATCGGCTTCCCTAAAATAAAATAAAAAAAATTAACAAAAGTGATTTTTAAACATTTAGATGGAAAATCCGAATTAAATTCTTCCACTAAATTAAAGAACAGGTTTACTTTTATTCTAAAAACCCCACTCCTATCTGTAAACCTTGCACAGGTACCCCCAACCCTGCGTCCATTAGGTTTGTACCTAAACAGAGCAAGGTTCCCCTCTACACTGGCCGGCTCTCTGTTGTGCTAGGCAGGGAAGTGTTTAGTGGAGTAGTAAAAGAAGGTGAGACTTTACTTACCTCTCTGATCCAGCAGGCTCCAGTGCTCTCCTCCCTGACACTCAGGGGCTGTGGGGGCCCCTCAGTGTCATTGTGTACAATGCAGGACTATTAACCCTGCACTGTACATGGAGGAAGAGAGTGGGCGACCGTGGCCTGGAAAACCTACAGGAATCTTCATGGCAGCGGTTACACAGATGGGGAGGCTTTTTTTGTCTCATGCCCAGAGTTGGGCTTTAAGGCACACATTTGCCATTTACGTATCATGACCACAAAACTTTAAACGACAGCAATGTACACACAAAAAACCAAAACATTCTCCCAAATGCATGCACAAGGAATAAAACATGCAGGACACAAAGGCTCATTTGCATCATAGGGTGACAGGTCCTCCTGGCAGGACCGATGTGTACTGACAGTGTTGCATCATGTTGTGCAGGTGATTGCATCTCTCTGGCTGCACAATGGTGTCCCCGGGGACGTGTGGTGTCAGGGAGATGCTCAGGTGACAGATGCTCCATTGGGGTCCATGTTAAATCGCTTTCAATGCACTGAAACCGCAGACAACACTTTTCAGAGAACATGGGGAGCGATGATAAAAGTAAGAGGCGTGCAATGGTGAATTTATTCCCCGGTCAGGGTCTGATCCCTTCCATGTCGGACCTCGCCCTCACTCCCCGCGGTACAGGTACCAAATAAAGCTTCAGGAACTCTCGCACTTCGGGAAAAATGAGAGATCGCATTCAACCAAAGCCGCAATTTCTTTCTGCATCCCCTCCAACTTCAGGGGCCCCTCGGGGCCACACTCTCTCCCGCCCGCTCCTCTCTCACCATTGTGATTAACCCAGGCGGGTTTCAGGAGCTTCATTGTCCCGCGGTGTGCCCAGAGCAAGGTGTCACCTCCGGCCGCCCATTGAGCCTCGGGGCTGTGTTACCCCCCTACACAGAGGTCTGTGCAGGCTTCTCCCCGCCTCGGAGCCTCCACTCAGCGCCGCTCCATCCCGCTCCAGCACCCGCACCAAGACCGGAAGCCCGCGGGATGTAAGGTTTAAATGCGTCCTGCTGGAAACACTGACAGAACGCTCGGCGTTCCTTGTGCACAGTGCATGGTGCGGGGGAAAGTGTCAGTGCTGGACAGCGCACCTTGTGTTCTTCTGTGTTCTCACACTCTCCTATATGAGACACTCGTGTGGTTTATACCAGGTCACACAAACTACACAATGTACTGGGCTGCTGTGTCCTTTATAAGACAATGGACACAGTTGTAGGAGTGGAAGGGAAGACAGCTGGACCTTTAAATCCTTGGTTCTCAACAAGTGATTCGTGACCCAAAAGTGGGTCGCGACCCCGTGTTCAGTGGGTCACTGCATGCCTTCCACTTTTCTAGGTGAGAGGCTCCTCAGCCTCCCCCTAGCGCAGCATTGTCAGTTCTTACGCCAAGCAGCCATTCAAAATATGCTGCCCGGCGCCGAGTGTCAGCTTGAGGTGGGATGAGATGGGGGTTATGGCTGTGAGGGAGCTCCATCTATATGTGCATTGCTTACAGCTCCATCACATGTTCTATAGAGGTGCCATGGTGACATAAAATTCTGGCTCCCGCCACCTCTACAGGGCACGCAAGGGAGCTGTACAAGCAATGCACATAAGGATGGAGCTCCATCGCAGCACACACTGGATCCCAAGCTAAGGATCCACTCCAGTTCTCATATGCAAGGAGATCTTATAAAAATTGGAGTGTGTATGTGTGTCAGAATGTCTGTGAGTGTGTCACATTGTGTCAGTGTTTTTGAGGGCCCGTTCACACTAGTACAGTGCATTTGTTCGCATAGTACGATGCAATTAACGCACTGAACCACGCAAACGCACCTAACATGCATTCTGATGTGGGAGGTGTGTTGCGTTGCCCTTCATTTGAACGGTAGCCCAAACTCTCCTCCCACCCACAGTTTGTACCCTAATGCTCCATCACAGCACAGCAGCCCACACTGCCATGTGTTCCATTGCAGGGCGACTTAATGACCGTGGACAAATGTGGGTCCTGAGGTTACACAGGTTAAGAAACCACTGCTTTAAATTATCCCTCGCCTGTAAAAACCATTTTGCTGATGTCTGAGGCTAGGTTCACACCTAGGCGATTGCGCTGGTGAGCTGTTTTTGCGCCGTTTTGCTTGCGTGATTTTGCTTTGAAAACCGCATCACCCAAAAATAGCTCTTGCACCTTTTTGCGTGACAGGTGATTTTGCCCGCGGGACAAAGCGCAAAGGTGTGAATAGCCTCTATTGACTTTCATGTAAATTGGTGTTTTGCACGAGCCGCGTGATAAATCGCCTAGGCGTGCACCAGCCCTTATTCTGCAAATACTAGTTGCCTGGCTGCCCTGCTGGCATGCTGGCTTTAATAAGGGCTCATTCACACTTTTTCTGCACCTGAGCAATGCAGGTCTCTGCACGTGCACATAGGAAACAATTGATTTGACGTGCCCTGTTCACACCACAATGGAGTGGAAGAGGGTGCATTGTTTCTGCGCCGTGTGTAGAAATGAATGAAATGCCACTTTATGCCATTTCAACAAAGTTAAGAACTCAGGATTTTCTCAAAATTAACCCTTGCAGTGGGGCTACCCCTGCACTGCAAGGATTAAGTGCTTCTTTTGTCTAGGGCAGTGGTTCTCAACCTGTGGGTTGCGACCCAAAAGTGGGTCGCAACCCACAGTTGAGGAGGTCCCCACATGCCTTGTGTTGCTCTAGGTAGGAGGCTCCTCAGCCTCCTCCTAGCGCAGCCTTGCCAGTTCTCCTAGATGGCGCTGCAGCAGCAGTGGCCAGAGAGGATCAGAGAGAGGGGAGCAGGCAGGAGTGAGGGGAGGGGAGTGCTTGATCACCACAGAGCCCACACTGGGCACCACAGAGCCCGCACTGGACGCCAACAGAGAGTCCCACTAGCCACCTGAGAGCCCGCATAGCCTCCCGAGAGCCCACACAGATACTAGTATTGGTGCATCCCTACATTTTACGGTTGGGGGTCACCACAACTTGGCAAATGTTACCAAGGGGTCCCGGCACTAGAAAGGTTGAGAACCACTTGTCTAGGGGGTGAAAATAAAGAAGAAGAAATACTCACCTGATTCTCGGTCCTACGGCAGTGACCGCTCACCTCTCTCCCTCTCTGCTCCAGATCTTCACATCTAATAAACTACATTAGACTTGATGACGTCATGGGTCCTTAGACTTCTGGCGTAGAAGAGGCTATGGGGACTGGTCTAGCACCTAACCCTTGGGGGGGGGGGGGGGGGTTGTAGTTCCACTACAAGGGTTAGGTGCTCCATTATTTGTCTAGGGGGTGAAATAAATACTCACCCGATTCTTGGTCCCCACACTGCTAGACCAGTCCTCATAGCCTCTTCTACAGCAGGTTCTGGCAGTCTAAGAACCCATGACGTCTAATGCAGACTATTAGACATAAAAAATCTTGGAGTTCTTTAATAAAAAAAAGGTAAAAACACAAGGCACCGTTCGCCCCCCATCAGCACACACAGACACTATGTCACATGCTAAAACGGATCATTATAGCATGCGGACTAGTGTGAGGGGGCCCTTAAACTGGCTATACACTATGTGGACATTGGCCGTTTCTTAATGAGCCAGCCAATATTCTCACACCTTTCTCCCCAGCATCCCTGGATCAGAAGATCGAAAGAGTTGGCAAATCTTCAGCTGAATAGTGCTTTTAGCCAATCACCTGCGACCACTGTTATGGTATTCTAATAGTGGCCGCTGTCAGAATACAATGGAAACAGTAGAAGATTCCTCCATCCATGCTACTTAGCATGGATGGAGGAATCAGAGATTATTTTTTTTTGTTCAGCTGAAAGTCTAAATGAAAAAAAAGTACAGTGTAGGGCCAGCTTAAAGTCCCCAACCTGGAACAAGTATGCAGTTCAGGATTTATGACCCATTTTAGGTCACTGACTCTGAACGTATTGAAGCCTGTGGTCACCATAATAGCCTGGCAACTAGCCAGGAGCAGACCAGCATGACCCGTTTTAGCAAGTAGGCTAATGTGAGCGGGCGCTGTAGTCCCCAACCTACAATAAGTATGCAGATCAGGAATATTGACTCAATTTATGTCACTATTATTCCTGTGGGTCACCGAAACAGCCTGGCAACTAGCATTTTTCAGGAGGAGGTCAGCAATGGCAGCCACCACACAGAGGCGTAACTAGGAACCACAGGGCCCCGGTGCAAGAAGCCATGAAGGGCCCCCCGGCGGAGCTGCGGAGCACTGGTCTGCTGGGAGCTATAGTCCCAGGAGGCAATGTCGGGGGCCTCGGCAGTTACAGGGCTGGACCCTCTTCTTCCTTTCCAGGCTCCTGGGGGTATAACAATGAAGGCATGCTGGGAGTTATAGTTCAACTACAACCAACATGCCTTCATTGTCCCTATACACCCCTCCACATCAACCAGGGAACTACAAGTCCCATCGTGCCCTCATTGTCCTTCTACACCCCCACATATAAATCACCCAGGGAACTACAAGTTTCAGCATACAAGCCCCCTGCAGTAGTTCACTGGGTGATATGTGAGAGGTTTACAGGGACAGTGAATGCATGCTGGGACTTGTAGTCCCCTGTATGATAGAAGGCTGTTTTAATTAATTCCTCATGAAAATACTAATAATACAATGGCATTATAGTGCAGTAACTTTCAAGTTCAACTATATTCTATTCTATGTCTCTATAATGGCATTGTGCTACTAGTACTTATGAGGACAGTCATTAAAACAGCCTTCTATCATACATAGAACTACAAGTCCCAGCTGAACTGCTGACTTGTAGTTTTCTAATAATACAATGTCATTATAGAACATGGAATAGAATATGGTCAGTTCCAAATTCAGCCGTGTTCTGTTCCACGTTCTATAATGGAAAGCACTAAAGCACTTACCTCACATGCCACGGTCCTCTCAGCTGAAGGAAACTCAAGCACTCAAGCAAAAACAAAAAAAACACACAAACTACCATGGGGGACAGCGGCCGGGAACATGTACTCACTGTACTATCTCACTGCTCACTGTACTATCAGGACAGCTGCTGCTGGGTCCTCACGGCCGTGTTTACTGCCGGCCCGCCCACCCGCTTCACTGCTAGCGACCGGCGCAACCCTCTCCCGCTCGTCCGTCTGCCTTTGCAGCTCCATCGTGCCCCCCGCTTGTTACTCCACTACCACGGTCGGGGCCCGTTTTTTCCTTCCTGGGCCCCCCCCCAAGTGGCGGAACGCCAGGGCCCGGTCGCGCCGGCGACCGCTGCGACCCTGGTAGTTCCGCCACTGCCCCCACACTAACAGAATTGGACACCTCAGGCGGGGATGTTTGGTCTTCAGTGGCTAATAATAGAATAGCAGGAATCTGGTCATATACATTATGTGTAGGGAGAGCTATGTAGAAGTAAAGCCACCTCACCAGATCTGATGATTTTTAGTGAAAATCCAAAAACTTCACTGTAATTCAGCAGTAGAGATGAAGTTATGAAGTTTCTTGTAATGGGCACGGTGCACCACAGTAGACGGTTGTACACCATGTGACCAGTCACCACAGCAAGCTGCCTATATGCTGGGTGACTGGTCACCTAGCACCCCCATAAGTCTATAGGAGTTACATGTCCTCTAAGAACCAGGCACACAGAATGACTGTATCCTGAGGGCTCTAGGGAGATGTAGTTTGAGTGGATGCCCTATATGTGCGGGAAGAGATGCATTGCAGGACACCCTGCAGCTCCTCACCTAAGCCTGGCATGAAGAGAGCCACTTC